TCTGCTGTCATCTTAAAGATCAAGTTAATTTGGGATACTTACAAAAGTTTATAAGTAATTATTTAGCTAATATTTTTTTTTCTACTCACACACTTAAAAATCAGATCTCTTTTGTCACATTCAGACGTCACCTGGCAAAGTAAACAGCCTATGGTCGCCTAAATTGTAGGTCCTTCATTTTGAGAGCAAAATACAGCAAAATGGAGTTCAAGGCCTCACCAAAATTTAAGTAAAATATTTGAATGATTTTATGGTTGGCTAAAGTTTCTAATGTCTACCTCATCATCACTATTTATTAGAACTAGACATTAAAATGGAACCGTGTCCCTGGAAGAGAAGTTAGAGCACCACAGCTGCAGGCACCCACTCGGTAATATGGGCTCAAAATGACACAAAGACTCCATCACAATAAAAAAGTCACATATCACCCTTTTTCTCTCCTCCTTTAAATAGGGACAAGGTGATAAAAGATTCTTACAGGACACAGAATCCTAAACTTTCAGTTCCTCTTATTCAGATATAGTTTCAGGTCTGCCCTCAAAATGTACTAAATATGGGCTTTAGCAAAACACTGAAAGCATCACGTTCCCACGCTTCCGAATATTTTATGAAAACTATATGGAAAGAAAAGAAAAAACAAAGCTTTAAACACTGGATTTCTTTTGAGCAGAGGGAGAGACAGGGGCAGTCCCATGGTCTTGGCTCCAAGACCACAGGTTGGCAGTGACACTAGAATGTGTTGACTTGCTCTGCTAAAGTCTGTGCCCATGGAGATGCCAACAAAAGCTTGCCACTTGACTTGCCACTAAACAGGCGTCTGTACAACTGGATTAGCTGATACCTAGATTAGACTGAAATAGTGTCACCACTTTGCTTTTTCAATGCTCTTTTATCAAGGTCACCATTCTCTTCCTGTTTCCTCCACCTATTGACAGATATGTTCCTCAGTATGCAGAGTAGAGCAACCATTTAATGACTGTGTAATGCTTCTCAAACAAGAGATTAACTAGCTGCAAATAAAATCTAGAATTTGCCTTGGGAAATCAGCTATTCTCCTACAAAATGAGGCTTTATCTATCATTTTTAAGAGTTGCTGTATGATATAGTTACTAGTGAAGAATTCACAACACAGAGAAGTACCTCCACCTAGTAAGCTACTCAAAGACAACAGGAAAGGTGTGCTGCCATGTGTAGCACAACAATAAGCCCCCAAAACTACATGTAAAATTGACTGTTATTGACGTTAAAGGTGAGGTTGACACTCTTAGCAGAATCGACAGTTGCAAAAATCAGATGGTTTTCTGTAGTATCTAACAACCGTTCATATCATATCCACCTTGCTTTGATCAAGTTTAAACTAGACTATCTTCTTGCTTCCATTATCACCTATGAACCCAACAGGAACACAAGGGACTTCAAGACAGTAAAACACACGTGCAGGAGTTCTGCAGTTCAGAGATGTTATAAAGTTCCCAGCGGCATCTGAAGATGTTACTCTGTGACACCTTAGGAAAATAAATCCCTTTGGAAAAAAAACCCACCTAACTACCCATAAGGAAGATTTTGATCCTATCTGCCATAAAGAAAAGCAGTTCTTTTATGTAACCTCTTACTGGCTTTTTAAAAGGTGTCATGGTCTACAGTACTGTGGTTATTGTGCACAGTTATTTACACTGCAATCTAAAAAACTTAGTTTGGAAAACATTCCCAGAAGCTGAACTGTGATTTAGAAGTCATTTTAACAGTTTTGAAACTTTCATTATATGAGCTACTTCCTCTGAAGAGGAACATCAATATTTCAGACACAAAAAAATTCTCTTTTTCCACTGAGTTAGACCATTACTCAATTCAGCGTTATTAAGTAATTTTTCCAAAATATAATATATTGTTAAGTATAATAATGGATTGCAGTGACTTTCATTCTTAAAGAATTTAGAACAAAAGAAAGCCTGCTAGACGATGCGCTATTTTGATGAATATATATCAATTAGCTGAGAACATTTCTTAGCAACCCTTACTTATTCATCTACCTATAAATTTTGAATTTGAGCTCTTCGTTTAGAAATTTATTTTTACACAGATCGAGTTTCCTAAACTTTATGAATATTTTATTGCTTATCTTTCCTAAAAACATTAATTAGGTCTATTTAGAAACCGATTTTTACACAGAATGAGTTTCATAAATTTTTTGAATACTTTACCACTTGAAACTCCTAAAAATCTTAACTAGGTCTATTGCAGAGGACAATGGAATAAAATATATTTTCCTTGGCATTTGAGTGTACGTATTTTGAATACTGCAGGGGATTTGGATGAATGATTTAGATTAATGTCGACTGGCAGATGACAACTTAGTTTTATTAAAACTTTTGACAAGTCAACATTTGTTTTTTCTCTGTTTTGGAGAAAATACAAAACTTTCTGAAATGGAGACTTGAGGCAACCAGGTTCAAATTCCCCTGTTTCTTCAGTAAAGCTTTCCAGACCGCTTCATTTTGGATTAGTTAGGACAGAACAGAAATTCATATGGAAGTCCCTTATGAGTGAGGTCAACATCCCAGTCACCATGCTGGAGAATGAGAAGTCTCTCTTATACACAGTGTTACCAGGTTCCTTAATGTCTTTCTTAGATAATATTTTTGTGGATTTTTTTTTTTAATAAAAATTAAAAACCTTTAAAGAAATCCCTAAGCTGGTTTCAGTGGAACTGGGATTTTACCCTATAGTAACAGCTGCTTTCCGTACAAGTAAAATATTCATTGACTCTTTTGTGAGCTTATTCTAGAAGCTTTAAATAAAATAGTCTCTGTTCCACAATTTTGCACTCTTTTTCAGTTACTAGTTTCATGTTATCTCTACTAATTTATGCAGATTTTGACATTGGGCTCATTACTCAAAGTCCTTACTCAAACAAACTCCCTACCAAAGGAAGAAAATTAAATTCCTGTACAAGTAAAAAATGTCAGGCTAGGTCTTTAGTAATGGATTTGGGGACTCTTTAGGGTGAAAGACACTGTTAATTTATTCCCATTACCATACACAAGTTCATCTTACAATGATCTACCCAGAAGAAAAAACATTTTTTATCTAATAAAATTGAAAAGATGGCATAGTTGATTTTTTATTTTTCCAGGGAATGTGTATCAGTGGATGACATTTCTCAAAAGCAGCAAATTGCTGTAGATAAAGTCATGCGCAGCAACTCAGTACAAGTGTGAAGTTTTGAGAGAAAATGACTGAAGCCAGAATGACAAAAGGTCTTGACGTAAAGTCAGACAGAGCAGCACTGGGCAGACAATGTCACCCTGAAGGTAAAATCCAACCAAAAGCAGTAGGAGAGACAAGGAAGTTGATATAACAGCAACAAGGAAACCTTTAAGTTTATTCTTCCCATTATTTTTAGAGCCTGGTAGGAAGACTGCAAGTCTTTTCAGGGCCAGTCTGTGACAGCAAGTGGTTGATGTCCTCCATGTTCAGCAGAACTTGTTGCAGAGAAGGATCCTACAAGCCTGGCGCCGAGATGCTGGAGTCATGCTCGTTCTTCTCTTAGAAACACACAAGTCACATAATGCTTTTTCACCAATCTGGGCTCATGTACCAAGTCTAGCTACAGTTTCGTACATTTCAGATGGATGATTTCAAAAAGGTATCGTTTTACATGAGCTCTTTAGCCTATTCAGCCAGATATTTAAGTACATCTTCACAAAATCACTGTTTTTAATGACAATAATTAAAAAACGCCAGAGAGCATATAGTCATCACACATCATTTTATCTGCCAGTAAGTACAGTTTAGGATAAGCTTTTGATCCCTCTACTTCCACTGAAATCAATGGAAATCCTTCATGCAGAGGCAGAAGTATCTTTATGTGGCATATATAATACCACAAAAAAACTCTACGCTTGAGAGAAGGGGAAGATGGTGGAGTAATACTGTTTTTCTCAGGTCATATATGTGTAAGAGAGGATAAATGGGATAGTGGAGAAAGAACAAATGAATAAACAGATCAAATTCACTTCTGTGCAGTACAGTGTTATGAACTTGGCACAACACTTTTAAGTACATTGGGTAGGATTTCTGTTTTGCTGAGGATCCTTTACAGAACTCTGCACTGGGCTATTTTTTTTTCCCCCTGGGGAAAATGCTACTGGTACACATCGAAGGCAGCTCTATTTGTAACTCCTAGGAGAAAAAGCTTGTCATGAACACACCGAGTGCCCATATAAAGGATGGCACAAGCTGTTCTGATAGGAGCACATGTAACAACCTGCACATCTCTGAGTGCATTCATCTTTCCTGCTGCAGTCAGCATGTGCCTTTCTCTCTAATTGGACAGGTGTTTGTTAGTCTCAGATGCTTCTGAAATATTAGCATTTATCCTAGAGATGGAGCAAAACCTGCAGCTCAGATCCAAATGTTCCTGGCCCTTTTGAAAAAGATAAACGGGCCTGAGTTGCAGAATTTGGTTATTTTTAACTCTGATCACAGCATCTGCCTCAGTCACTGTACAATTAAAACGCATATTTGTTAGCATAGCGTTTGGTTACATGAAGTACTGCAATGCTAGTTACTAGGACAACATAGTTGTTTACACTGTGAAGACAATTTTTCACAAGAAGAAGGGACAGATATTTTGCATTTTTGAAGTCTGCCCAAGAAGCTGTAGAAAACTAAAAAAATGCAGGAAATGGTTATTTTTTTTTTTACCTGCTTTCTCAGATTTGTATTTGCAGTCCTATTATTCCACTCTCCCCAGTGATAACTTTGCAAAATTTCCTATGAACATAACACTTTATGTTTACAACCTGAAATACTGCACTCATAATTTCAAAGGCAGGTTGCATACTAGGGCTGTTTGGACACCAGTGTAAGAGCCTGTGTGACTGCAAGAGGCAAAAGTCATCCACTCAAGGACTATTTCAAACATTCACAATTAAAAATATGCTCAAGTGGATCAGCAGAGAGCACTCTGAAAAGATGAGAAGAAAACAGCAACTTACGTCATGACCAGTGTCTCATCTCCAGGTTCACTAAGTAATCCATCAACAAAGACTGAAGTGCTGGTAAAATTATGTGTACTCCAAGTCTGGCCTTCATCTATGCTGAACCTGTAAAAAAAGCATTCATTTAACTATCTTTATACCAGACAGAATTCATTCATTAATAAACCCCTGCAAAACCTTACTACTAAAGCCCACGATTTATGATCACCAAAGTATAACATGCCTGGACAGTACATCATATTAACGAGACCTTTTTCTCAGTAACGTATCGAGGGGTTCACATCTTTATTAGAAGGTGTATAATAAATTTGCCACAACAATGGAAATTCTCAGGCAGATAAAAATGAAGGCCTGTCAATGAACTATGTTGCTACCTCATAGGTTCAAGAGCAAGTAAATTTACACTTAATGCTTTCTAGTAGTCTCTGTGCTAAGAGACCTGTCAAGCAGAGGTCAGTGAAACATGAGAGGCAAAACAGCTCAATTGCTAAAACACGTGGGAGGTGCAGTAACTGCAGGCACCAAGATGATGAACCTTCACAGCTGCTACCATCCCCTTAAAAATTTGCAAAAGGTGCTGAAATATCAGCAAAACATATTTCGAATACCCTGTGGACCCAAAGTTTAAGATTTAAAGTCTCTTTTCTGTGTACCTTTCCTCCAGGTCTTTTTGGATACTACATTAATGATGGCTTTCATCCTAGTTAACTGAATACATAGCCTAGTTCCTATTAAAGAGTATTATGCAAAAGGAAGCCTAGTCACAAGTGATAAACAAACATCTCTTGCTTTTTTTTTATGCCATAGATGATAATTTTGTATGCCATTACAGAGTTTGCTTCACTACCATGCAGTCTAAAACTTGGTATTTTGTAACAAAATGCTGTGCAGGGAACATTTCCTGCCAAACAAGCTGAGAAGGCCATTTGCTGCATTATCATTATAAGACAGGACCTACATTGAAGGCATAGTACAGTTAATTAGTGCATGAATTACTCAGAAGAACTGGGCTTCTTGCATACTGTGTTCCGCAGCACATAAGCCCTTCCCCCATTGGCTCCCAAAGCCTGTGTTATATTGCTCTTGCCAGAGCAACTCAGGGCTATTCTCCAATGTCTCCATTCCCGTGGAGGGGATGGAGCTTTTTTACAGTATGAATGAACTATCACAACCAGATACTTGAGCCACATATGCATCTGAGGTTGAGCATCATTGCCATATACTGCTGCTGCAAAGCCCTAGCAGATAACAATCATGCTGAACATGGCTTGTACTGTAGAGTTCCAGGATAGATTTTTAAGAAAAAATATCTAAACTGATGCAAAAAGATTTTATTATGATTAATGCATTATGCCATGGTATCTCCAGTAGCATGAAGTAATCTTTAAGAAAACATTCACCTGCATTTTGTTGACATAATGAATGTTAAATTAAGCTTATTCCACCTGCATTTCATACATGATCACACCGAAAGGCTCATCTTAAACTCTGAACTTTGCCTGAGGTCTCGAATACAAAATAGCTCTACTCTAATTTACTGTAGGATTACTTGAGTATTTTCAGAGGGATAGAGGTGTCTTTGATGGCCACAATAACTCCACCATGGTCCAGGTACAAGATGTGATGTTCTTCTTCAAAGACCTACAAGTCGGACAAAAAAAGGTGAGCTAAGCAAATGTGTAAAACAGCAGAAACAAAGCATATGAGCAAACAAGGATTAAAAGACTTATAGGTTTTATAACATCCGCACTTCGAATTGAAAAGGACATAAAAGTCAGTTTTACTCTTACATTTCTCCTGGCCGTAAAAGAAAAGAAAGTTAAGCAGGTGAATCAGAAAACGTTCAGGTTCAAATCACAGTCAGATTAAACTGTCTAAAGTGATTTTAGCCCAAGCTTATATTTCTCACAGTATGCATTCTGCATTCCTTCCTATTATATATCACTAAGTGACCTATCACCTTACTTCAGTATTTGCCATATTCTGTGTATCTTGCAGAATAAAATGCTTTGTAGTCTAATTCTAAGAAAAATCGGAAAAGTATTGCTGTCCATAACTGCCTCACATGTTCTCCAGACTCTACAGAACTTGAAATGATTGCTGCAAGCACGTTTTCTATGTTTCCAGTGTCAGTGATTTATTTAAATTCAAACTTTATGTGATCTCACACAGGGGCCGCTCTGAGTTCTGAAGCAAAACACATATAATATTGATTTAATGGTATAAGGGATTCGAAATTTCTTATATTACTTTCACTCATTTTCTAGAGGTCATCAGCGGTATTAAAATAAATGAACAGGTAGAGATCTTCCCTTTTTTACATCTGAAATCTGTTTTAAGACAGGGTTTACTCATGTTATTAGCCTGTGAAAGTTCATTTAACATAAGAGCAGGTGATAAAGTGAGAGTTACTACACACACTTAGCAGTTAATAGACGAACATGCAGCCTCCTATATGCTTTGATAAAGCAAAGGTGAAAAAGATAAAGGTTAGCTTTACTTTGCCTTGTGAATGAAAAAATACTGACAATGCTAAATGTTTCTTTTTTTTGGCAATACTAAATGCTACATTCGGAGGATTTATCAGCAGGACTGAACCAGAGTAGGGGAAAAAGTATCTTACAGCACATTCACAATTACTTCCAAAATAGCAAGCATTTAATTTGGGTTCAGAATTCAGTCTTCCTCTCATCTCGTAAGAGCATATTTTATGGGAATCCTAGGGCTTCAAGTGCCTGATCAGTTTTTCAATGTTGCCAATTTACAGGCAAAACCCTGATATGAGGCATTTACAGTCCTATCTACTTGTTCCACTCAGCTGCATATTTTAGAAGAGAACTCAGTAAAGGACAGACATTAATTTTAGATGCACTTCAAAAGGATGAGATCAGTTGGAGTCAGATAAGCAAGCAGAGTTTTGATCCTCCTCTAAACTTTGCTTGAACTTTTGCTCAAATCAAAATGGAACAGTATAATCTGGGATACGAAGTCTCCAAAAGCTTCACCATCACACTGAAGATAAAGGAAGCTGGTATCTGCATCACTTGATCCAAATTAGGTTTTCCCAGAAAAGCACTATGGCACTTCATCATGCAGCATTTTAGTACCCCTGCTTTAGCACACTAAAGCACAGCGGACACGTTACAGGCATATTAATGCCATCTTTACATCATGCTCCTCTTGCACACATTTCAAACATTTAATAACCAAAATGTATGAAATTCCTTATGAAAGCAAGTCTTCATCTTCAGTAAATTGAGAAGAATTAACTATTTCATGCCTATGGAGTTCAGCACAAAAGTAAATATTTATCTCTACTTTCTAGAAACAAAACCAAGACAGTTTGCAAAGGACTTAGGCAAAGGTGGTCCCAGAACTGAAGTTTGAACCCGGGAACAAGGAATATGTATGTTCACAGGCAGACATGAATTCTGATATATTTCTCTCCAATAACTAAAGTCGGGTAATAAATTTATTAGGATCCTTACCTGTAGCCAGCTACTACGGAACTAGAATTTTTTTGTAACACATTTCTATGTTTCTTTCCTTCTTCTGTAATTTTTGGAGCAAGTTATGTGCTTTGTAATTGTAGTGTCAACTTTTTTTCTCTCTCTCCTCCCTCTCTCTGCTCTCCATGTTCATTCCTGTGTCTATCCTAACAACTTCAGCAGCTATTTCAGGCCAGGATACCTGCTGGGAGAGCTCCACGATATCAATGAAAATATATTTATATTATACCAGAGAAATATACTCCACACAATTGTCCTCTGAGATACACAAAGTAATCAAAAATGCCCGAAGTCACTTGCTCCTCTCACCAAGTGACATCCATTTCTAAATTCCAATACGGAAACAGAAGTTTTCCTACGCAGAACAAGGCAGTTGGACCTTCCCAGGGATGGAAGGTTGAGACTGCAGCCTTTACTGTTGTGCTTAAAGGTGTTACCACTCATCTCTTAAGATGTCTGCAGAAAAACAAGTAGTCATGCTCAAACAAAGGTTTTCCAAATTGCTTTGATACGAAAGGATTTGAGGTAAAGAAAGAATATTCCAACAAAGCACTGGACTAAAGCTCCAGAGATCTAAATTCAGTTCCTAGACATACAACAGACTTTCTGTGTAATCTTATTAGCTTAATTGAGCATTTTGTTGCTACACTAGCTAGTTTGGTAGTAGACCAAATATGAAATGTTTTCTATTGCTGACTTTTTTTGTTATTTAAGCCATTTCTTTTGAAAGCCAGTCTTCTCTCTTACTCCGTTTGCCCTCTTTCAAGCCCAGTGTTGTAACAAATGCTGTTGAAATACCAATGGCAACCATAAATGTGAAGAAAAATCGGCATTTCTTTTAAATACATAAAACACTCATGTATACACAAGGTCATTCTTAGCATTTGACAGAGCATCCTAATATTTTAAAAATCAAGACTGAAAAACAGGCCCCACAGGGGGGAAAAAAAAAATGTTTAAAACCTGTATGGTCTGAAATCGTGTTCAAAGGTAACCCATTTCTCCCAGGATGCGAGATTTATCTATCTTATTCAGTATCATGTTCATTAACACATTTTATGATATTGTTTTCCTGGTATAATAGACAGAGAAATCTTCCAAATAGACATATCTGCCCCACAAGTTCACCTTAGTCTACGTTTTCATGGTTCACTTGAGATAATCTAAGCCCATGTAGTTCATGAGAGCATCAAGGCGAGATTCTCTTTTCCTACAAGCCAGATCACTGATGCTGCATGGACATTCAAGCTACTTGCCAATCAGCTCCTAAAGCACTGCTATTTACAGTGCAATGTTGTACAACACAGAGTCACAAATCTCAGTTTGCCTTAAAATTGTATGCAGTAAGAGCGATGGTTTCAAGGGATTCAAACAAGCAGCTCAGGCATCATGTAGCAGAACAGCAGGAGAACAACTGGAGCCAGTCCAAGTGGTATTGTGGCTACTTATAATCAGAATCCTTGTTTTCACCTTTCCGTTTTTCACCACTATTTACTTAATTTCACAAAACTCTCATTTGGACATTTTTATTTCTACTTATGAACACTGGCTGTATATCCTACCACAGTTAAGTCTTCCTGAATTCTCATATGACCTTACTATATGCAAGCTATGGAAATACAGGTTCAGTTGAAATAATTTTAAGTGTATACAGATGGTTAAGAAATTATTGAATAAAAATTATCAGTAGATCATTGTTAAATTGAGAACACATTGCAAATTCAGAAACATGGGGACTAGTCCTAGTTATGAATCACACGCTGAATCTGAGTCAACAATGTGAAGCTAGTGTAAAGAGGAGAAATCTTCTGAAATGAGGTACCAGTAACGTCAAGACGACAAGGGCAATCATTTCAATGTGTTTAGTACTAATAAGATTTATAATTTTGTACCCAGTTCTACCATGCTTCAGGAGAGGGATGTCATATTAAATAGTCCAATCAATGAGCAACAAAAGGAAAAGCGCTTCAGAAATGTGATCCATTAGGAAAACCAGTGGATTTGAGTTTGCAGTTTTCCAAGGGAAAAATCCCTGTGCTATGGGTAGACATGATAATCACCATTCAACATCTAAAAAGTTATTCAGAAGTGACAGGAAACCACTTTCTCTTCAAAGACAAGAAGAAATCAAATTACCTTGGAAAATCTGTGAAACTGAAAAAATAGCTGCAAAAAGCATGGCTGCTTTATGTCAAATATTCAGAAAAACCTAGGAAGAATGGTGAAAAAACACGTAGCCAGACTGCAGAATCTTCTACAGTGAAGGATTAACAAACAGGTCTGGCAAACCTCTGCTACAGATGTTCCTAATATGTTTGATGCTGTCTCGGGGCACACAGTTGACTTACATGATCTTTGACCTTCCTCCCAGTCTTCTATTCCTAGGAGCCAATATTGCTATTATTTCAGGAAAGCTTTTAATTAATTCCTTGAATTGTCTTTTCTCCAAAGTCTTTTATATTTACTTTTCTGCGTTGCTCTGTCATTCTACACAAATACAGACTGTTCCTCTTCTAGTCTTTAGACAGCTCTGCAATACCATGTGTGGTATGTGAGAAAGGTGACAGGCACTCATTAATGACAACCGCAAAGTTTCCAAGTCAGTGACTTAAACCCACCTGAAGAGTTGTGCCAAAACATGAGCTTTGTCCTGCTTTTGTCAGCTCAGGAAATCTGTAATTTACTGTCTAAATAATTCCCATGTCATCTGACTGAAGCCTTGTCTTTTGTTGCATGAACTCCAACAGAGCAAGGAAATGTAGCGCTGTTCTCTGGAAGGACTGTTTGATCATGAGCAGTGAGGCCGTAAAATACATACAATAATCTACATTTTCATTCTGATCAAATATTGGGATCAAGCAAGCTCTTTCAAAGGCTTTGTAGCAGTTTTAATTAAAATAAAGCTAGCAGTGATGTTTTTCATTTTGATTGTCATAACGAGGGATCAGTTTGTGGTGGGTTTTACAGCACAAATAGTCATCTTAAGGTCAAGTTTCATCACATATCATTTGCCTGAATGTCTCACAAATAAAAAGCAGCAAAAATATGAATTTGATCCCCTTCACTATTTTCTTCTTACTTTTCACTCCAGAAAAGCTATAGAACCTTTGGCAAATGGTGACAATAAATTATTAGAGAGGCCTCTGTGAAGTATTAGACAACACGGTACCCACTGTAAATCCTGCAAGACTTTTCCATTTAACCACCTATTTATCATCTGCTGGATTTCAAGAAGGAATGTGATGTAAAATTTTATCTTTTAAACCTTAAAGGACATTATCATGACAAAAAAAAAATGTATTTCTTTAAAAAAGTCCTTCCATGGACTACTAATGGCACCCTACAATAGCAATATAAGAAACTGTCAGTATTTTCCTCTTTTAATCTCAAACTCCCCAAGCTCATTAACACTAGTGAGAACATTTTCACACTTACTTGTTCTCAAAAAACAGCACAACTTAATTTTATTTCAGCTCAACACTAAAACACTATTTTAACTGCAATTAAAAGACTTTTTGACACACTTTGATCCGTCGAGGATTTTTTTTTCTCATGGATATACATTATAAGTAGTTTCCAGATCATCTTGTGTATTGTTGCTGTATATACACAGAAAGAAAATATCACTGTGATTAAGCATTGGTGAGTGTACTGGTTTGGGCTGGGATGAAGCTAATTTTCTTCACAGTATCTGGTATGGGGCTGTGTTTTGGATTTGTGCTGGAAACAGTGTTGATAGCACAGGGATGTTTTCATTACTGCTGAGCAGTGCTCACACAGAGCCAAGGCCTTTTCTGCTTCTCACCCCACCCCACCAGTGAGCAAACTGGGGGGGCACAAGGTGTTGGGAGGGGACACAGCTGGGACAGCTGACCCCAACTCATCAAAGGGATATTCCCTACCATATGATGTCATGTTCAGCATACAAAGCTGGAGGAAGAAGGAGGAGGTGGGGGACATTCAGAGTGATGGCGTTTGTCTTCCCAATTCATCGTTGCGCGTGACGGAGTCCTGCTGTCCTGGAGATGGCTGAACACCCGCCTGCCCATGGGAAGTAGTGAATGAATTCCTTGTTTTGCTTTGCTTGTGTGCATGGCTTTTGCTTTACCTATTAAACTGTCTTTATCTCAACCCATGACTTTTTTCACTTTTACTCTTCCAATTCTCTCTCCCATCCCACCGGAAGGGAGTGAGTGAGCAGCTTGGTGGGGATGAGTTTCCAGCTGTGGTTAAACCATGACACTGAGATAGAGTGGTATTACATATTTAGGAAAAAATATATAATAAAGGTGCAATGCTTAAGTTGACACTAGCCATTGGAAGCAAAAGACATCCACAATTCAAATGGCATTACAGCTACTACATGACTGGGGTTTTTTTTTAGACTTTTTCTAAGGTTTATTGTTTGGTTTGTTTTTTTTTTTAAAAAAAGTACCTTTTTGCTTTCTGTCTCAATGAAGAACAAAGTTTAAGATTAAATACCAGTTTTCAGGCTATGAAGCAGATGAATTTCTGCCTTTCCACTTAAGTCATGTCTTTTAACTTGGAATATTTGTACTGCAAAATCATTAGTATATCATCATTAAAAATAAGAAGATTACTTAAATTATTAAAAACCTAAACAGACTCTATTTTTTTTTATGCAAGAAACTTATAAGATCTTCAAAGAGACCAAAATATTTGAGTTTCAATGGAACATGAGAGCCCGACCAATTTGAGTCTTTACAAATCACTTCCTTTATCTCAGTTTCCAAGTGAAATGGGGATAATAACAGCCACTTCCCTCAAAACCATAGGTATATAAGGATTAGTTATGCATTGTAAAATTCATCACATTTGATACATTAAAATTATTTCCATGTACTTTTGATTTCTGTTTCCTACCTGACGCCACGTGTTCCCACAGTCGGATGTTATGTACATCTCTTCTTTATACTCAACCAGCTGGGAGCCCAGGTTACCTGTCAGGAAAGAGGAGGAAACACGGGCTGCACCCACATGAGCAGGACAGATTGGATCTAGTCCTGATGCCAGGCAGAGTGAGAAGTTTCTGGGTCAGAG